CTAAAAGAACATGCTTATTATCGATTGGCCTATCCACTGTGCAAAGTCCCAACTTTAAGGGCACCCTGTATAATTATGCAGGGTGACTTTGAAGTTGAGTCATTAATTTTCAGATAATGATTGTAGAAGGAAGATAAACCAAAATATGTGTAAAAATAAAAAAAAAAAATCCGTGATGCCGCGGCAGCATTTTGTAAATAAGAATCATGTCCATAAGTTCAGCATTTTCGTAAACATGTGCCATTTTTTATTTCGTTTGAGCCACGCAACAAACACCACTATTCACTCACGCGTTACCGACTGACACATTGACTGAATACAACTGAATAAAATTGTAGTAAAAACATCGTGATAAGCGTTTCAAATTCTTTCGCTTTTTTGTTTCCGATGCGATGAACCGATAAGGCGGATTATATCCGTTGTTGCCAAACACGAGCACATAATATTATTATTGAAACAGGGCGGTACTCAAACTTCTAAAGGGCTATAACTTTGTTACTTTAATCTTACCAGAAAAATGTTAAAGGAAAAAAACATTTCTTTCGATCAGATCTACTCACTGTTAAAATAAATGACTCAACTTCAAAGTCATCCTGTATAGCCACATATTTTCAAGTACATCAGTACAACGTTGCTGAAAAAACACTATTCCGCCTTGAAAGGTGTAGCCCGCGATCGCGCCTGGCAGCGTGTCGAGCTCTGAAGGTCATATAAATTCGCCCAACAATCAAGCGTAATTTTCAGCGAGTTGTGCTGCTGTATTATATTAGAAAATGCTGTGGTCCGACCGCGCTGCTGCTGCTGAGTGTATGGTGACCCGATGCGGTGGTACGTTGAACTCTTTGCAGAACGGCCAACAGGCTGCCGATGTCGGTGCAACGTTGCCGTCATGCGCATCACTAGAGGATAAAGGCCTTTTGGTACTGCTGCAGATCGGTTGATGGAGTCTGTGTTGCAGTTTGAAAAAAAGAAACATCCCGAATGTGTCTATCATTTCACCCAAATAATCATGAAAACCCTACCTCACTCCTAATCAAGGATCTAACGGGTGATTTTTTAGGAGGTATAGGAATTGATTTTTAAAAAAACACAAGATATTTGAAAAAACGATTTTAATCTTTATTTGAGTCGATAGAACGGTCGATATAATTTAATGTTTAAAGATTATTTCATGTAAATGTTGGCCGCGGCTCCGCTTTAGATGGCCCATGCGCAAGGTCCAAATTTGGCACACTCTCTCCAACATATCGGCCGGTATCTCACGAATAAATGCTTCAATATTGGCTTCCAGTGCGTCAATCGTTGCTGGTTTATCTCTGTAGACATTAGCCTTAACATGGCCCCACAAGAAATAGTCCAACGGCGTTAAATGACACGATCTAGGCGGCCAATTGACGGGCCCCAAACGTGAGATAAACTGTTCACCGAACTCGCCTCTCAATAGAGCCATTGTTTCGTGTGCGGTGTGGCATGTGGCACCGTCTTGTTGAAACTACGTGTCAGCCAAGTCCAGCTCTTCCATTTTGGGCAAAAAAAAGTTTGTTATCATCGCACGGTAGCGCTCGCCATTCACAGTTTCGTGCCGGCCATTGTCGTCTTTGAAGAAGTACGGCCCGATGTTGCCACCGGCCACTAAACAGTGATTTTTTCGGGATGCATTGGTAGCTCTTGCAATGCTTCTGGCTGGTCTTCACTCCAGATGCGGCAATTTTGCTTGTTAACGTACCCATTCAACCAGAAATGAGCTTCGTCGCTGAACACATTTTTTCTATAAAAATGCGGATCTTCCTCCAACTTTGCCAGCGCCCATTCACCAAATTGGAAACGTTGTGGGAGGTCGTGTGGCTTCAATTCTTGCACCAGCTGTATCTTATAAGGTTTTACACCCAAATCCTGTCGGAAAATTTTCCACGTAGTGGAGTAACAGAGGCCCAATTGCTGCAAACGGCGGCGAATCGACATTTCACGGTCATCACTAACACTGGCGGATACAGCCGCAATATTTTCTTCAGTCCTCACTCTACGTCTGCGTGTTGGTGGTTTAATGTCCAATAATGTAAACTTGGTTCGAAATTTAGTCACAAGCTTCCTAATAGCTCCCTCAGTAGGCCGACCAAATTGCCCATAAATTGGAAGCAGTGCTCGATGCACTCTCTTAAGCGAGCATGAATTTTGATAGTAAAATTCAATAATTTGCAAGCGTTGTTTGTTCGTAAGTCGATCCATGGTTAAATTATAGACCAAACTGAACAAGTTTGACAATACACAAGACACGATTCACGCGTCATCTGTCAAAAACAGTGTTGCCAAAAAGATACTAGCAAAAAAATCACCCATTAGTGATCTATAATTATGTAAAGGAACAATGTTCTTAAACTCTCAGGTCTGTGAAGTTAGAAAATTTTGGGCTGTTAAAAAATGATGTTCCATACGATTTTTATATTGCTATACCACGTCTTTCCACCAAAAATTTTCGTTTTTCCACCTTTATATTACGAGAAAATTTTCGAAAAAATAACGAAAAAAAATGAGCTAACATCGATTTTCCATTAAGTATATAGTTCCTATTTAAAAAAAAAAATGTTCAGTTGTCTTTTAACATGCTCCCAGAGATGGTCTATAGGGTTTACGTCCGGGGATCGCGAAGGCAATGTAAGAGCATTAACATTTTTTAGTCTTAACCAGTCCTTTGAGGTATGCTTGGGGTCATTATCTTGCTGGAATGTCCATCGTAAAGGCATTTCTTCTTCAGCAAAAGGGAGCATGTGTTCTCTAAGAATATCTTTGCAAAGCTTTTGATTAATTTTCCCAACAATTTTAACTATTGGACCCGTTCCAGAACTAGAAAAACAGCCCCAAACCATGATGTTGCCTCCACTGTGCTCAACTGATACCATCCATTGTTGTTCTGTCCAAGTTATATGAGTTTTGGAAAATTCAAGCCGAGCAATACGATTTTTTTAATGAGAGGTTTTTGCACTGGACGCCTACGAAAAAGCCCAAAATCGACCAAGTGTCTTTGCACTGTTTTGGATATTCACTAATAATTTTCGAAATCGTCCCTTTGTTCATGTTGAATCTTTGAGAAATGTCAACATTTCTAACGCCACTTCTAAATAATTCAATAAGTTGTCTCTTAAACCTTCTGAAACTCCTTTTACTTTTGCCAGTCTCGGTGATGTTAATATTTACCGCACGCAATATCAGCGTATCGCAGAACGAATAAATATGGCAAAACTGAAATGTTTCCAGACTTTTGTCGTTACAAAAACTGTGGGATTTAAAAAAAACGCGTGTTTTTATTTTCAGAGAATTCGAATATTGATAAGATAAACCTTGTATTCGTTCGGGAGCCAAAGGTAGATTTTACTATTTATATTATCTCTTCCTTCACAATTTTTAATTTAATTATATGAAATAGTTCATAATAATGTTAATATTTGTTTCCAAACTTTTGTCCGCTACTGTATCTAGCGTATTCACGATATTTGCGTAGTTTATCTTTGTGTGGCATTTTTTTCTCGAATGGGCAGGACATTTTTTCGTATTCGTTTTGAGGATGGCTATAAAAACAATTCAACGAAAGTGTATCACCAGCTATATCACTGATTCCAAAGTGGTCCACCAGGTGGGATTCCAGGGGTCTACGGGATAATCCACGGGAGGTCTACGCTGGCGTAAAACAAAAAGTTGTAAGTGGAGGTTTACCAAAATTTATTTCGTTTCGGTAGTAGGGAAGAAAAACGTTGTCAGATAATATTGAATGAAGGCCAAGTTTCCAAACTGTAAATGTCAACCAATAGAAATAGATGGATTCAAGCTTATTACTAATGAGGAGCTGGAAGTGAAATTCGAAAAAGGCTATCAATCAATTTGGTAGCTAAAATATTCTGGACAGAAAATTTGAGAACATTTTTGTTAGTGTTATCTTGATTTATTTTTTTGTTTGGGATGTCTTTGAATTTATCCTAGACCACTATGAACTGCACTTACAAGTGACAGAACTTTACTTGAAATTTCTTTCCGATGAACGTTGAGTGTTTTTTTGATTTTTTTTCAATGTTTCGCTGTTGTTTCACGTCGCATTAGCATTGTTATTACAAAAGCAGTTGTTTCTGAAAATGAAAGTCCTAACTTTCAGAAGAGATTCTGGCGCCAGAAGGCTGTGCTAAAATGGACGGTCTCAAAGGAAGTTTAGAAAATAATAAAGTACATATTTTTCTTTGATACGATATTTTATATATTTTTTATGGGAGCGTTTACGAGCGTTTCTTTATGGAGGTCAGTTTAACGTTTCTTCCAGCCTCTCAGAAATATAAGAGTTGTGTATGGGATCGCCTGTGGTGGCCGCAATCCCAATAACTCTAAAAACCCATAAACAATAGGGCTCCAATGGCTTCAGGATCCGGTCCATTTCTCAGATATATTTATTATTTATTGTTCTAAAGAGCCTTCATGCCTTGGTTGTATTTATATGAAACAGATTAAGGATGCTGATAGGGCATCGTACCGGAAAATAACGAGGCAACATGGCTTTCCAAACGTGATATCAATATCGCACACATCCCTTTTTTCAGCGGACTGTATTCTTGATACTCCGTGTCTGTTTGTTTCATAAAAACAAACAGACAAATCTATGTATCCTTTAAATTTATCACTATACTTAGTAAGCAGCGGGTGCTGTATTTGGAATTCACATTCTGTTGCACCCCAAACCTGATTAAATAAATAAATAAATAAATAAATAATGTTATATTATGCATCTTTGTGCTTTTTTATGCATTCTTTTTATAATCGTAACTTGGTAACAAATAATTGTGCAAGTCTGAAATTGTTTGAGTATATTCCATTTTTATTAAATTATATATTTCCGGTAGGACCCGCGTTTTGTCGACTTTTTATTATTGCGAGGAAAATTAAAAAGCTTGCTGAAACACATTTTGTGGTGTATCAAAAAGCGATTGAATTATGGATAACTACGCTATTCCTAGATTTTGATTATCAAATAGTTGTGTTCATGTTAAATATGAGGAATGTCTTTTAAGTTTTGCATATAGAAACATAGTAGGCCGCGCGGATCGAACGCCAGTACTGAATCTTAACCTCACTCTGTAGTAAACTTATATTCAAAGTTTCACAACAATACGTGCAGTGTTCTCACTTTTGTGAATTTTTAAGTGTCACCAAGTCATTAGAAAAATGGAACTCAACCGAGAACATTTTCGCGCCATAATTTATTACAACTTTCAGAGACAATTATCGCAACAAGAATGCCTTGCTGAGTTACTGTCTGTTTTCGGTAACGAAGCGCCACATCAGTCGACAATTTCCCGTTGGTAAGGAGAATTCAAACGTGGACGGGTGAGTCTTAGCGACGATCCCAGGCTGGGTCCACCAAAAACGGCAGTCATCCAGGAAAACGTCGATGCTGAGCGCAAACTCATCATTGAAGAGAGACATGTGACATATCGCGAGATTGAGGCGTCCTTGAAGATCTCAAAGACCTCAATTCAAAAAAGTTTACATGAAGAATAAGGATTAAGAAAATTAGTTTCTCGTTGGATACCCCACCTGTTGACTGAAGAGCAGAAAGCAGCCAGGGTTAATTGGTGACAATTCCGGAAACTCAAAAAATGTGTACAGCATTGTTAGTGGTGATGAATCATGGATTTACTGTTATGAACCAAAAAATAAACGACAGTCGGCTATTTGGGTGTTTCAAGGTGAAGAAAAGCCAACAAGTCATCCGTTCTCGAAGTGTTTCGAAAAAGATGGTCGCGACATTTGTGTCAAAAGCGGGTCATATTGCAATAATTCCTCTTAATGAGCAAAGAACTGTTACTGCGGATTGGTATACCACCATTTGTTTGCCAAAAGTCATCACCGAGCTTCGAAAAATCAACCCTAAAGAAGAATCATGACAATGCAAGCTCGCACACAGCCCTAAAAACAACGTATTATTTACCGGAAGAAAACGTGGAATTATTGGACCCTCCATATAGTCCCGATCTAAGTCCTAACGATTTCTTTACTTTCCCGAAAATTAAAAACAGACTGCGAGGTCAAAGGTTCCAGTCAACAGAAGAAGCAGTTGACGCATTCAAAAATGCCGTTTTGGACCTGCCAGCAAACGAGTGGAATAAGTGCTTCGAAAATTGGTTCAAGCGCATGAAGATGTGTATTAATCTTCGTGGAGAATACTTCGAAAAACAGTAAAGTCATTTAAAACTACATACCGTGTTGTTTTATTTCCTTATGCAAAACTTAAAAGACATCCCTCGTAAATACACCCGAACGGCACTCCTATTATGTGGTAGATGCAAATGCTTTCAATGAAATAATATACAGGGTGATCCACAAGTCTTGACCACACACAGGACCGCATTTCAAGGGGGGGGGGTCTTCATGAATCACCCTGTATACTGAAAAACAGGTAAAACCTCTATACACGTCCTTCGTCAAGGTCAATCACAGAACAAAACAAAATTGGCCCTAAAGTAGCATTTATCAGGAACAAAAATAAAAAAGTGCGAATTTAAGTTCATCGGTACCTCAATCATTTATTTCTTAAGGCCCCACAAAGTGCCTATGTTACATCAGTTTTATAAATTATTCCTCTAGTATTCAAAATTCGATAAAACCCGGCAGGGGTATTACGTATCTTGAAAAGTGACATAATGTAGGTTTTTGACGTAATAACCCTGCGGGTCGAGTCTTTTTTTCTCAACATTTTTTTCTCCAAAAAATCTTTGATGTTTCCGAAAACCCAGGGTGCTGCAAAATGGCTTTTCAAGAGAAGTAAAGAGTTTTGGAGAAAAAAAAAACGGCCTACTCACTGATGCCTTTTATTCCGTCTTTAATACTTCACCCTATGGCCTATGGGCACTTGGCCAGGGCCCTGGCTTGATAAAGCCCCCAAAAATAAAACGAAATCCAAAACCAAGCACACTTTCATCAGCTATTTTCAACGGCAGAGTAGAACCTCGGATTTGGAACTGTCTTGCTCTAAATTACTGTAAATCTAGAGTGTAATCAATCACTTTTTTGCCATGCATCATCCGAAATTTAAGCGTTACCCTTCCATAATGTAATAGAAATACAAATTTCTCTTCAAACTACAAGGAGATATGCGTTCTAAAAAAACTTACCAAACTGGAATAGACGCCATGGGTTGACTTGTCTGTTGTACTTGCACTTTTGTCCGAAATTAAATCACGTAGTTTATCAACGAATCGAAATAAACGGGATCTATCTGATCTACAAATCATTCACAATCACTTCCTGCACTTCTCAGGAATTTGACCGACCGATATCGCTAGTTTATTCCACCTTTTATGAGATAAATCACCGAAAAGCCGTTAAAACCTAGAACCTAGAACAACGCCAAGGGCCAACTAACAAAGATAGAAGCTGATACCACCGTCCACCCAATAAAAAACTGCCAGTAAAAACAAATGAATATATGTCAGTGTGCTCGGCGTCCAATCGTCTTACAGCGTAGATTCTCAGAACTTGACACGGACAGATTTGACTGTGCAGAAATGCTGAAAATTGAATTTTGTGTGTACGGTAGTGGACAAAAGTATCGCCCAGAATTATAATTTTTAATTAATTATTATGCATTTCAAATTTAGGTGGGTTGTTTCTTGTGTGCAATGTTGCCGTACCTACCGAATTTTCGGTATTTCTACCTTATTTACCGAAATACCGAAAACATCCTCATTTTTTACGATTTTTTAAAATAAATCAGATATTTCCAGATTTTGTACCGAAAAAGAGCTGTAGACAAAAATAAAGCTAAAAACAAGGATTCTATAACCAGAGCTCGTCTGTATTGAATATTAGATTAAACTGTCAGGTGATGAGGCTTCAAGTTCAGGGGTGAAACAGAAAAATATTAAGAATCATATAAACAAGAACGGCAAAAATAGTTTGGTTGATGGGTTGCAAACGAGTTTGGAGTGCGACCAGAACTTAAGATATTTTTGGAACAGTTGCCCACAAAAAACCTTAGGTGTGCGCGCAATACACAAATATTGTTCATAGAGGGCGCTGCGTGATGCAAGCAGCAAGTGGCTTGATCAATTTCTGACCGTGTGGAGGCCCTGATTTTCCCTTGTATGGATTTTTTCCTCGAATTTACCGAATCCAACCACACTGTCTACGGATTCGGATTTTGTCTTTCTCGGTTCGGCAACACTGTATGAGTGTAAGCTTTGCTCAAAGTATGTTAAGGTTGTTGAATACTTATTGAAGTTGGATATTTTCTGTAGTGTTTTCATTCGCTAAATTCCTTTCGAAACATTGAATATTGAGGATGAATTTTGAAATTATATTGGTAAGGGCAGTCCACTTGGAATCGGAAGTGCTTCTCTGGACAAGGGACGCATCCTATATGAATTTGTTTGAGACAAGAATATTGAGGTTAGATATTTTATTTACTTTACTATATGCATAATTACTGTACTATGTAGAACGTTTGAATATTGAGTTTTGGTTATTGTACAGTTTCGTTTGTAGTTAATGTTTTTACTTCCTCACTGGGCGAGAAACATGTATTATAATATGCAAAAAACATAAAATCTCATTTTCGAAATTTTTCGCTATTAGAATACCTACTTCCTCCCCAGTGGGCGTGGGAAGTAGAATTGACGTGTGACCTCGAGGAAGATGTACAAATCTTTGAATGTATGAACTACCTACCAATACATTTTTTATAGTATCCTATTCAGAGGATCAATATATTGATCAGCGAAATATTGAATCAGGCAATATGACCTCAATGAATTCGCAGTTGTAAGGGAGCTATGAATAAAATATAGTCTCGGCCACATAATAGCATGACCAGGCATAAAGTGAACCCTGCTTGTCTGTTGGAAAAAAAAATGGAAACACGCAGGCCGTGTTACAAGTGAAACAGAGAGATGATCCACGTGCGGCGTTGTCGCTTATTCTATATTTCAGGAGATTTGTTCCAAAGATTTTGTATATTAGACCATTCTTAGATAATGATATGACGTAAATCTACAAATTGACACTTTTAAAATAAAGGTTGATCGACAAATAAAAAATTATTTACAAAGTTTGTGATAACATGTTTCAGGTCGAAACAAGAATTTATCAACGATCCTTTTATTTTTAGGAATGCCATTTACTTTACTGAAAATAACTAACGAAACATTATGAATATATACTAAAAATATTTACTTTCTGCGCTATTGCCACGTATATCAAATTTTGATCTAGAAAATTCACGACTTTGTGATACAGCTATTTTTATGTCGCTCATGGTCATAAAAAATCAACGCCTTTCATTTCCGTCAATTTTGACAGTTCAATTCTGCGTGAGTCTTTGCCGCGTTCGGTATTGTCCTCCATTCTCGTCAGCTTTTCTATTTCCCATTGTCACGAGACGAGGATTGAAGCTAGATAATAAAGAAACGCTAGTTCTTCCGGAGAACCGGAAGTTCGTGAATAGCTGTCAAAGGAACCGACATGGGTATCATGTAAAAACCTATAAAACGTGAAAATAACCTATAAGATGTCAACTTGCAGACTAGGTAGTTTTTAGTGCGCAAACAGTCCTTCCACGTTTGGTCACTAGGAATTTGGGAATTCATTTTGCAGACATTTTTTTCATGTCTAAATCAACATGAAAGATTTGATGATTGCGTTCCTATGAAATTTTCAGGGTTAGCTATACGTCTTATTCCAATCCGACGGTCTAAAAATATCAAATCATGAACTACATCGGGTCTTCCAAATCTCTCATCACCTTGATTGGATAACTTTCCTCTTTTGAAGCAAGCAACCCAATTTTTTACAGTGGCACATGAAGAGCAGTCATCATGGAGGGTAATCAGCATGTCTTCGTAAATGTCCTTGCCCTATAACCCCTTCAAATACAGGTACTTAATGATGGCTCGATATTCCATTTTATCCATTCTCACGAAAATTTCTTGCTTCGTAATCCTTACACACATTGACATGAAACTTTATAATAACACTTATGATAAATGTTACTTATTTTATTGTTAAGGTAACGCGCATTTGTTTTGATCATTGCAAATGGCTAAAGCTAACTAGATATCAATACCCCTTCGTAGTATTAGGTTGGGTATCTTCAAGACGTTAATCCGTGCTGGAAGCGACTTCCTTACAGACGGAATACTTGGGTCATCATTGCCTCGAGTCGCAATATACAAAAGAAGTTGGCAACAGTGTATCATCCCTGGACTCCCTTTTCGTTTTATGCTGAGTCAGGTAGCCGCTTTGTTATTTATCAGACGCACCCCCAGACTCTGCACACAGGTGGCATCCCATGTTGTCTGCCTAGTTGCCATGTGCCTGCATGACCGAATCCCACACAGGGATTTCCTACCTGTTTGGCTGCTGGCAAATAAATATTTAAATGCTACTAGGTGTATCTGACGGTTGTCGGTCCGTGCAATATGAAGCGGTGCTGCCATATCTACCGATGGAAATACCGACAGTTGACCCAATTTAGTTTCTAATTTGAACAATATATCGATTGGGTATGCTGGATGCAGGATCTTATGCTAAAATAGTAACTGTCAGGAAAAGGGAGTCAAGTAAATTAACCCCTTATTGTCGATTGTATCCATGAATGACTGCCGATTATCTAGTAATATCTCAAAATTCCCCATATCAGCACAGGACACATAATTCTGACGGCTGCGCCAACGCCAGGCAGCCAGAGCCGTATTTTGTTTGTTTTTTATACGCTACAGATTCATTTTGTACTTGCTAACAGCTCTTTTATTTAGAAAAGTTTATTTGCATCCAAAAGACAAAACGCCACAAACAAGTTTTACTAGATTTATACCCGATGCATTATTGTGAACGTTGCAAAGTAACACAAAAATGTCACTTGCTGATCAGCTGTTGACCTCAGTTGACGTCCAAGCGTGATGGATACTCGTGAAACAGTGTA